CTTGCTTTTGTTATGTAGTGGCAGTTGCCTGAAACCGGATTAAATGTAGGCATTCTCGTAATAATTGCAGAAAGTCTGTTGCAGTTTGCATGCTAAAATCCTGAACTGTATGTTTTTCATTTGGAGGCTTGAATGCGTCGCAAACATTTGTGTTTTTTACTAATTCTCTATCCAATTACTGCGTGGAAAGGCTGTTTATTTTAAAAAAGTGTATTCTGCGCATAATTTTATCACTAAAGTGCCTGAAAAATTCGACTATTTTATACGTTTTAAACTTACTTGTGGGATTCCGGAACATATTTTTGCAGTTGGTACTGCAGGATTTGAAAAATTAACGCATCAAAATTTAAAAAGCACGCTGTCTGCAATAAATTACCTAAATTTTTTGCAGTTTATATTTGGAATGTGCGCGGAAAAAAATGCATAAAAAACCTCTTATCTTTTATGTATCTTTTGCGCAGAGGCTACTGTTATAAGGTTGCCGAAAAAATGATGCAATTTACTGGACCTCAACTTTGAAATTTTTAATTTTGCTTATTTCTGACTTTTTTTAATCAAAATAAAGATTATTACAGTCCGTGTGTCTTGTACATATCTTGCATTAGCATAGATTTTCGGCATTTTATCAAATTCTTTGAAGACATTTTTGATGACACATCAGTGTCTAAAAAATTTAGGAACTTACTAAAACTTATTGTTTGACAGATTCGTATCCTACAACCGGGAATTCTGGGAAGTATGCAGGAGGATGCATAGCTTCGTTGCCCACTTTGCTGAGATTTTGCAGCAGTAGCTGTGCCACATGCTGTTAAGTGTGTCCGTGCACATTTTTCGATTCCTTTTTGCTGTTCAGCGCCAAAAGCGGGTGTTGCAGATTTCAGTTCGTTTGTCGAATTTCTAAAATCTTTTATAGTTGTTCCCTCAGCCTTAAAAGGTAGAGTGGACTGGCCCAGCTGCATGTCACTAAAAAGTCATTGGGATCTTCCGGCTCATTTTCTCGTGTTGCGTTTCGTTTTGAGCTTTATTTTGATTTATTCTAAATCCATTCAAAATAATAGATGCTTATCGTATAAGATCATTTCCCATCGTTCACTAACACATGTTCGAGTATGGTGCAAAAAAGCAGAGTGTGAAACCTCAAGGCAACACTTTCTTTTTTGGATTTCTTACAATTCATGTTCTATCCATATGTCGGGCTTCACCTTCGCAACTTGTTCTAGTGGCAAACGATCGTAAGGTGCTGAACTACGGATTTTTCTGCAAACTTATCAGTTTTGAAGCAGTCAGCTCTGACTTTCTTCCTCGGCTGGTCGTTGATAACTGCTGTCCTTAACTTTACTTTTAAGTCGGTTTCAGCGTCATAGAATTACTGAAACAAGTTCCACCACGAACATGTATTGCTGTTTCTCCCGCCATAAACTATGTTGGTTTCAGTCTTATGTGTGTAATGCCATTTAATCAGAAAATCGCTACGCTAAGAACATACATACGAGTATATTACATCAGCACTTATTTTGCTAGTTATTTGTTACTTTAAACGCTGCGTTTCGCGCTAGCGAAAAGAGAAAGCATAAAAACGAATGCCAGAATTGCCAGCAAGCTTGCTGTTCGGTTGTGCAGCTTCAGCTGTGCAACACTTCGGAAGGAAGTGAGCGAAATCGATGGTTCCAGAGAACCACTATGAGTTTTCACCCATTCTGAATATCGAATTAAAAAGACGCCAACAATTTCGCATCTTGAGATTTGCCCTGTCCGCGTACAAAGCATAGATATACGTGAGGTTGATTTTTCGGTCTTAAAGCCGAACACTGGCAGTTAACATCCAGCAAAACTTCAACTTTCTAGTCTGTTTTTCAGAAGTGGAAGAATGCGGACAGCCTTGCAAATTGAACATTTGACGAGTCCGGAAGTAAAACGTATGCGCAAGGCCGTTCTCGTTTTATGATTATTGATTAGCAAACATCTTCAAAATAGAATTTTCTACTCAGTGCCAACAGCGCCCTAACTTGAACCTTCTCTAGCGCGTACTGGAGAGCTGGGCGTACTACACTGTAAGATTTGGGCTTCCTAGCTTACTTAACTGGTTTCCAAAATCATTTCTCGCCAAAAACGTTTTCGACGTATTCACAGGCATAACGTAGGCGTATTTGAAATTTGAGTTTAAAATCTTGGGCTAACACATGGAAAGAGAAGACATCCTCGCAAAAATTTTAGCTTTCTTCCCTTTCTGCTCACCGAAATTGTTTTCTTCCCGAACTTTTCCAATTTTGCTTTCAGGATTTAGTATATGAGACGTAGACATAATTAGGGTTGTTTTTATGACTACGGGACCGCAATTGAACCAGAACATATTTTTCAACTCCCAACTTGTCTGGTTTCTGAGTTGAAAATGGTGGCAAAATTCAGATACACACATATTAAGCACAGAAAACCTCTCGACAGTATGCGTTTTTATGAGTCATCAGTAATGCAACCCAGGTAGCAGCGCATCAGGCTTGCCGGTACAAACATGCTTTTTTTGCTAAACTTGAAGCAATCAGATCGTTAAGAGTATGAATGGTTGTTGCTTTACAGTTTAATATATGCATTTATTTTGGGAATATTTTGCTCTTTTCCTGTACGCAAGAGTAAAAGGGCGTAGCTGAGACGGTAGTGTTGTACCGGAGAGAGACGTGAAATCTTAGCCTCCAGCACACATGATTGCTGTAAACTGCGCGCGAAGGGAAACAAATAATATCCGGTGGCCAGTCAGTCACTGAAAATGCATATTGTACAATGGACAGGATGGAGAGAGGATGACGAAATTTGAGGAAAATGCACTCATTTTTGAGAGTGAGGTAAAAGTGAGCGTTTTTCATGTTTGATGCGGGGAATTTAGCCTCAAAGCAGGATTTAGACCATGTATGGGTATAGAATATCCTTGCAAAATTCCACCTTCGCAGCTTTTCTAGCACTTAAGGCCGTCAGTTCATTACAAATATTTCTTTCGTACCTTAAGATGTGGCACAAGTGCGATTCGAGTATCTGTTAAGGTATGCGTTTCCCAAACCGACAATAAATACACAGGTGAAATTACAGCCATCTCCCTGTAGTTAGTTTTCAAGTTGACACGGTGCTAACTGTGAGACTAAACGTGGCGTGTTACGCAAGCATGTACAATGGCTGAATTAAAGATTTCTAGCTTACACACGGACAGAGAATGCTCCTGGAGGATTAAATCTTTCCCCTTTTCCCGTTCCTGAAGTCGTTTTCAGCCATAAAACTTACATGTTTTGTTCCAAATTTCCGTAAGTAAGTTTCAGTCGAGCGTGAATGTTGATTTCAAAGCGGCAGGATGGCAAATGGGGTGAGAATGTAATCCTACAATTTCAGCTATCTAGCTTTTCCTGTTACTGAATTGAAAGTAGGTGGCAAAGTTCATATACGTTTTGAAACTTTTAATACAATTTGATGCGTTTTTATGCGTTTATGCATATATGTAAATTGCAAAAACGCATAATGGGAAGAGGCAGTCTGTGTATGTGTGTGTCTGTGTGTTCGCACTTTTTGTCACCCACATTCAACTCGAGACCCAGAAAAGCTAGAAGGCTGAAACTTTGGGGATGTGTGCCCATACCATGCGTGACCTTCCCGTTTTAATTTCATCCAGCTTGGAAGCCTGGGTGCCGCGTACGAAAGCGTTAAAAAAATATGCAAATTTTTCGGCAGGAAAGCGATCTCGGGAACTACATGAGCTAAGGGGCTGAAACTTCGTAGGGATATCCCCTATGCATGTACTAGCTAAAGATTTCAAATTCAGCCCCCTGGCATGCGTAGTACTCAAGTAGGGGCGTATGGAAGTTTTAGGAAGGAAATTGCTAACTCGGAAGGCTAGAAAGCTAAAATTTTGCGAAAATGTTCCCTATCCAAGAGCAACTCAGATACTTCAAATTCAGCCCCAAGCTATGCACGGTACTCACGTAAAAGCGTATAAAAGTTTTAGGGAGAAAATTGCTAACTCGGGCACTAGGAAAGCTAGAAAGCTGAAATTCTGAGGGAATGTTCTCAATTTAAGTACAACCCAAATATTTCAAAATCAGCCCCAAGCTATGCATTGTAGCCACGTAAGAGCGTATGAAAGTTTCTGCAGGAAAACTGCTAACTCGGCAATCAGAAGAACTGGAAGACTGAAATTTTAGGCGGATATTCCCTGCCCACGTACAATTTAAAAATTTCAAATTCAGCTTTCCAAGCACGTGAGGTACCCAAGTATGGGATATTGAAGGTTTTAGCGGGAAAACTGCTAACTCGGTAACCAGAAAAGCTGGAAAGCTGAAATTTTGAGGGAGTGTCCCCTGTCCAAGAACAACTTAGGTATTTCAAATTCAGCCTTGAGGTATGCGTGGTTCCTATGTACGGGCACTTAAAGTCTTGACGAAAAAATTTCTCACTGAACAACTGGGTTACTTTTAAAGAACGATAGTTAAATGGAAATTGTACATCTATTTTGCAAAATTTATGGTGATTTATGCTAGTGACCGCAAAAGGCAGGTATAAAGCAACAGCCTTTCATACAGTTAATGACCTGAGTAATTCAAGTCCGGTGCAAAAACGCATGATCGCACGGTGCGTTCCAGCCTGGGTTGCATCTTGTGCGAATGCAAATTGGTGAAACAGCCCAACGACCCGAATAAAAAAGAAACAGCATGAAATTAAAACAGCTGAAAAGTTTTCATGCAGTTGTAATGTTAATCATTGGTGGCGGACACTAGGTGGCCCGTGCGGTCATGCGTTTTTGCAATATTTCTGCTGTAGTAAGGACGCTTGGAATTAAAAGAACTAGAATTTGCGACATACTTGTCGCCTTAAGCGATGTTTACAAAACAGTTTTAAATATCGGTGATTTATGTTCATATTATGATTCTCAGCAATTAATCATTGCTTATTTTGTCGCGAATATGCACATGTGGTGTTATGTTTTCTTAAACCTGTGCATGTGATGTTTTGTCAAACATGAAAACATGTTGACAAAACAGAGTGAGGAGCAGCTACAGGGCTGTGGTTTGGAACTACGTGGAAAACGAGGTGGTGGTCTCGGCAGGCAGTGGCGATCCGGAGGACTTGGTAAGATTTGGAGCTTGGTGCTGGTATTTTTCCGCCGCTGGATACTGGTATTATTGCCGCTACACGACGATATTTCTTTTGCACATGGGACATTCTTCTGCTTATACCTGAGGTACGAATAAGACAGGAGAAGAATTGTTGCAACCGCTGAACCACCGAATTTTTCTCTCTGAACCTCTGAATCGGAATTTGATTCCGCTAAAATTTTCTTCCGCAAACACTACTGGTCCTCGAACTTCAGGATTCTAATTGCTCAACTGCCGTGTGGTACTTCGGAAAGGAACATTCTATTTAAATTTCAGCTTTCCAGCTTCCCTGACTCCCGAGTTAGCGATTTTCCCGCCGAAAATTTTCTTGTGCCATACCTGAGTACTTCGTGCGTAACTGGAAGCTGAATTTGAAACCTTTGAGTCCTACGTAGGCTGGGAGCATCCTCTCAGAATTTTAGCTCTACAGCTTTTCTGGTTCCTGTATTAGCGATTTTCCTGCCAAAAATTTTTACCGGGCCACACGTGATAACCATGCACACCCGGAGACAAATTTAAAATGTCTGGGTTCCACATAGGCTGGAAACATTCCTCTAAAATTTCAGCCTCCCATATTTCTTGGCTCTCGAGTTAGTTGTTTTTCCCCAAAACTTTCACGTGGCCGTACGCTGGGTCCAGACACGAGTAAAGGTTCTTATCGTGGTCCACTTGACCGAGGAACGCGTTGGCAAATTTTGGCGCTGAAGCTTGCTTATTGCCGAATTGAAATACCCGGAAAGAAGCACATACATACAGAAAGAGACGCGCAGACACAGATACACACACACGCACAGCCGGGTCGTCACAGTATGTGTTTTAGCGCTTGCATGTAAAACGCATGCTAATGTTTCATTTGTGACAGTGGACGCTGTTGTTGCTGTAGTTGTTACGTGTTTATGCGTTTTTGCATATATGCAAAAACAAATATCGTTACGACCCCGGTGTGTGTGTGTCCGGGTATCTCAACTCGGCACGCAAGCAATCTCCAACGCCAAAATTTTGGGAGTAGATTCCCCGGCCAAGTGCCACCTCAGGACCGCGGTACCAATCCTCAAGCACGTTAAGGCCCCGCGTATTTATTTTGAGCGTCTCAAATTTTTGGCAGGAAAACCGCTAACTTGGGAACCAGTAAAGCTAGAAAGCTGAAATTTTGGGATTATGTTCCCTGTCCATAAAGAACTCAAAGATTTTAAATTCAACCTCCAGGCGTGCGCGTTCCCTTGTACGGCACGGTGAGGTTTCCTGGCGTGAAAATCGCTAGCTCTGGAACCAAGAAAGCTGGAAGGCTGAAACTTTCAGAAAATGTTTCCATTTCATCTACAACTTAAATTTATCAAATTCAGCCCCCTTTATGCATAGTTACCATGCACTGTCCCGTGAAATTTTTTGGCGGGAAATGGCCAACTCCGGAACCAGGGAAGCTGGAGGCTAGAACTTTCAGGAAATGTTCCCAACTCATTTACAACTTAAATTTATCAAATTCAGCCCCCTGTTATGCGTAGTTGCCACGTACGGCCCCATGAAGATTTCTGGCTGGAATTTGGGTAACTCGGGAACTGAGAAAGCTGGGAACCTGGGATTTCAAGGGAATGTTTCCTGTCCAAGCATAGCTTGGATAAATAACTTCCCGAAATTCGAGGACCAGTATGTACAAGAGTTTTCTAGCTAGCGGAATTTCGAGTGATCTTATTACAGCATGAAACACTGCAAAAACGCATGATCACACGGGCCCGCCCAGTGTGCGTTCCATTGATTTTGTTGTGCAGCGCTATAGTACTGCTACAGCGAGCAAAAACGCATATTATTGAGAGGTTGTCTGTGTGTTTTTGTGTTCAGAAGCGAGTGAACTTTGTCACCCCTTTTCAACTCAGCAACCAGCAGAACTGGGAGGTTGGAATTTTGAGGATATATTCGGATCCCGTGCGCCACTCTTTCGTTTTAAGATTTTCGCTCATACGCGCCTAGACCTCGCGTACGGGCCGCCGAAGAGAAGTGTGCAAATTCTTTGGTGGATTGTGATTTTGTGAATCAGGCAGGATACAAAGCTGGAACTTTGTGGGGATATTCTTTGTGCATGTGTGAGCTAAAAATTTCAAAATCAGCTCCCGCGCACGCTTGTGCACCGCGCACAATCACATCGAAGTTTGCACTTAGCGATGTCCTAACTTGAAAACTAGCTGGAAAACAGTGGCTGAAATTTTGTCAGCATATTTGTTGTTCATATGGGAAATCCCATAACTAAACTGTGTTCCGACTTGCATTTGCGCCACGACTTAGGGCACTTCAAAGATATCTGTAGCGAAGTGGCTATTTCGTTTACCGATAAGATGCGAGGCTGAAACTTCGCTGGGGCAGTCTACTTTCATGTTGGTCTTAATTTTGCTTGGAGATGAATTTCCCTGCAGGTAGTCATGAGAAATACTCAATGTTTTTCAGCAAACGACCGCCCTCATCCTCTCCCAACATCCAGATCAATCACATATTTGGATTTTTTGACGAACGATCACTCTAGCAACGACTGCTAAATGGAAAATGTTTATTTTTATTTATGTAAGTTGGCAATGATTTGCGGTAGTGAGCGCACAAGTTAAGTTAATAAAGCATTAATTAATTATGTATTCAACGGCCTGATTATTTCATGTTTGTTGCAAAAACGCATGATCGCACCTTCAAGCCTGGCGTTTTCTAGCCTGGATTATTGTTGTTATTTTTATTGTTGCTGCTGCTACATTTCTTATTGGTTCTGCTAGTGCGGAGAAGCCTCAGGATGGCCGATGATGGGATAGAAAGGACATTACTCCATTGAAATGAAGCACCCACGTTTAGTTGATCGTTTTAACTAAAAAACGGGAAAACAGACCGTGAAAAAAGGACTAAAGTGCTTGTCATATGTTCATTTTGTGCACTGCATAAAGTGTTCACAGTTTTTACACTTTTTTCACAAACAGAAGGCTCTTTGCAGATGAATAAGATTTTTTGCTAATATCCATCGCCATTTACTTGCGACACAAACACATTTGTAATATATGTGTGAACGAAGTGTTCTGTTTCACTTGATGTCTTCTGGAATTTTTAGAATATTGTGCTCTACTGCTTTTTCTTGAACACATATGTGAGATGTAACTTGACGCACCATTATCCGAATTTAGTAGCCAATTTTCCTCCGTAGTATGAACGTTTTTATACTGGTTTAGGCAAAGTGGATACAATTTCAGTAACGCTTTCTTGTCGCAGTCGAGCTGAAAAGTTTTTCGTAATCGATTTTCCTAAATGAAATATTTTAATCTGTAACAAAGCTGCAGTGTGGTTAGGATTATTTTGATGAGGAGCACTCATGGGAAATTTCGCTGGAAGAGCCACTTTTGCACAGTTTTGAAAGAGCCGATTAATAAATGCTTTTTTTTATGTGTTGATGTATATATTATAATCGCGAAAGTAGCGAGACGAAAGATTCCTGAATCTCAGTGATTGTCTATAAAATAAAGTTATCATCCCCTGTAAAAGTATATTCGAGAATAATGGTTAGACAGTGCACACTGCTCTTTTCGACGAGCGTTTTTTTGACTTAGAAGAACAAAGCAGCAATTGAAAATGCTACGCTACACGGTAAAGGCAGTTTGTATCAACTGAAGGCGAGTAGTCCAGGCAGAAGTATCTTGCAAAGCAGTGCTTAGGTGTGGTTTGCTTCTTAGTAAAATAGCTAATCCAAATGTTCCTGTCAATATTTGACTAGAAATATCTACCTGCTGTCAATATTTGTTAAGTATCTGATGAAGTTGAGAGCAGTCTTAGAGCGCTTATAATATGGTACGGAAATTAGGTCAAATTACAGCTATTAACACAAATTACAAAAGTTTCTCAAACTTGAAAATTTAGACTGTTAACTCACCAAATGATACAAGGCCACACAAGAAGAGTTAAGTTTAAAATCTTTTGGTCGCACATGAGCAGGAAACACTCCCTTAAAATTAAAGTCTTCAGCTTTTCCCGTTCCTGAGTTAGCAGCTTTCCCATCAAAATTTTCACGTATCCGCACATGAGTACTGGACGGTTTTAAGAAGCTGAATTTAAAATCTTTTGC